GCCCGCGCCCCGCCGCGGGAAGGGGCAGCTCTCGCCCGGCCTCCTGCCGGGGCTGCGGCCCGGAGCGCCGGGTGGATACCCGGCATCGCGGTGGTGTCTGCGGTGGCCGGGGTACAGGCCAGCCCCGCTGCTGCGAATGACTCACACCTGTGCGGAATCCCCAGAGCCGGCCAGGTGCCGCCGCTGAACGGACCTGTGCTTTAGCGCAGCAGCTGATCATTATTTGCAGTTAGTTATTTAGCCTTTAAAAAAAAAAAAAAAAGGCAGTGCTAAGACACATGATAAACATATTGTGGCCTAAAGCAATCTATGAATTGACACGAGTTTAAAAAAGTGTGCTACTATCTGTGTAACTTTGCAAGAGCTTCATTTGTTGATCCAGTAACAAACAAGACCCAGCTCTGCTTGCCATTTACACCTGTATACACACGAAAAAGGCTGTCGGAAAACAACATCTCCAAAAAGCCTATGAAACTGAGACCTCTGATACTAAACCGTAGCCTACAGTTAATTTTTTTGCAACTAAGCTGCAAATGCCTGATGATTACTTGTGTTGATGGCAGAAAAGCTGGCGAAGCCCTAACAGTAGGTACCTGAGCGGTGTCCTTACACTGCTGGGTGCTGAGCACACCACCAGGAGAGAAATATGTTGCAAGTTTGAGCTGTAGGTACTCTGCCATGCCAAGAACATTTTATCCTGTTATCATCCCTAATTAAACATTAAAAGCAACTGTGTACTCAAAAATGTCCCCAGCTGTGGAGGGCAACTGATTGGCAATCTGTTTGTGTGTGTGTGCAGGAGTGGCAAGCAAAAAAAAAATCCAACAAACCATGGAAATGTGCAGAGCAAGACCTGAAAAGCGAATCTGTTAAGACGTGGGAGAGGTGGTCCACTGCCAACGTGAACATACGCGTGCAAACACAACCAATCCCGGGAGTCAAGTGCTCTTTTCTAATACATGTTCACATCTTTCATTACACTTTTTGCCCATCTCCTAGACAAGCTGTTGCCATCTGCTTCTGCAGCTTACCACTTGTGGAGCAAGTTACATTTCACCTCCAGTCTGCAGAAGCGTGATGGTCGAAAGCACCTCTTGCAGTTGTGCGTCCTGGTGCTCCCACACACAGCGCGGGCCCGCGGCGTCAGCAGCAGAAGCTGCCCAGCAAATGTGCCAGGGCGCTGAGTGGGATCCAAGCAGCAGTTCAAGTCCCCGTCCCATTCAAGCCTCGGGCTTTCTGGTAAAGCTGTCAGCAAAGACACAAACTGTGCCGTTAGCCACATAGCGTGGACACGTACCTGTCACGAACAAAGAGGGTTCCTTCCACAGAGCACGTGGAAATGACCGTTAACTTGGGCCCTCATCTGCCCCACCTGGGCGTCCTGCACAAAGTCCGTCTGGGGCTGTGGGTGTTGCAGGGGTGGTGCCTTCGAGTGCACCGGTGCAGAGCTCCTTCTTCAGTCATTTCTGGGGCCTGTACGAGGATGTTCTATCCTGCTACTGGCTTTGAACTACTTACGGCCCCTCTTTATAAGGTTGTCTTCCTGAGAAGCTAGGAGAGGCTCACGGACAACCTGGGAACTCGGTCCATCAGAGCACATGTAAAGAAGAATTAGTTTACTCTGTATTAGATAACTTCACTATTAATCTAGCAGAGTAGGTACGACATACTGGAAGGCCCTGCCTGTGTGCTCATGCAATGAAGCATTTTGAGCAGCTGTCTTTACAGTAGAACTGCAGAGCTGATGCTGTGTGAAGTCAGAATTGTAAGCTATAGCAGGAGCTGCTTGTCCTTCTGTAGCTCTGTCCTCCTGATCCACAAATCTGCCCTTGTTCTGCCTTTTGAGGCAGCACAGTTCTATACTGCTTCTGCCGCCAGCAGGTAGCAAGTTTCTACGGAAAGCCTCTTGGTACGTAAGTTGTTAAAGCACCTTTGCTGAGAATGAACTCATGGGAAAAACACACTGGGGACCGAGAGCATCTGGGGAATCTAAGGAAACAGCCCTTTTCAGTAAGCAATGTGGATCAAATGACAAAAAATCACTTACTTTCACTGTTGAAAGCTTATGCTCAATAAGCAAACCCTCAGAGCCAGGCCCAGCCGAGCCTGCTGCAGCCCTGGTCCAGCGTATCCCTGCAGCATTCCCATCCCAGCCCTGCTGCAGGGGCAATACTACACCCGCTCTTCCCCCGTAAATTGTCCTTCTGTCATACACATAACGAACATAACATTTATCCACATTGTAGCCACAGATGTAGCCCACATGGGTGAAATAAATATGTTTGCAGTGGTGCATAGCACACTCAAGCACTGCTGCATTTCTCACAGAGGACCATATGTGCCGGGCTGTGCAAATAAAGTGTAGAGTTAAAGCTGCTGTTCCTGTAATAGGTAGCCCCATCATTCTCCTTACTGTTATATACAAGAAAACCCAAAGTACTAGGCAATTACAGCTTGACAATCCTGACATGTTTTTCTGCCCACTTTATTTTAAATATATTTGCTTAATTTTAACAATCAGCAGTAAAATGTATATATTGCAAAAGACTTGTACAACTAAGAGCACAAGAGCTGTCACGGAGTATTATAAAACCTGAACTTCATTTCTTAATTTGTCGTGGTAATCCTGACACCTGATTTTAAGTTATATCAGTAAATCAGATATTAAGGAAAGCCAGCTGCTTCTGTTAAATACACTCCTTTGTCTAAGACTTAAAGGGAGCAAAAAAGCCAGGTGGAGTTATTGATCTGTGAATATCAGCTGGCTGGGCCTCACAGGCAGTGTGCTCCCATTTCTTCTAATTGCCAGTGCCTTCAAGGAAATGCTGCCCACGCCAAGAGGCAGGGGGACCTGATGGTCAGCTGGGGGTTTTGTCTCCCCGAGTTTGCAAACAGTTTATTACCAAGAAAGCAGAGAATCCGTAAATGTAAGGATTCACGGGTGAAACTTTAGCCCTGTTGAAGACAATGGCAGAAACCTCACTGACCTGTGTTTGCGGTGTATGTTTTATCAGACGGGGGTTTACTGACACAATGCAAGAGGGAGTTCTTTGTCTCACTTCATCAATTTAACAATTTGAAGCTGCTCCACAGATTTGCTTATTGAATTGGATGCTGCCTCATTTTTTTTGCAATTTCCCTTCTTGTCTCCAACAATAAGAAAACAATGAAATTATACATTGAAGTCTGCAAGGTAAATAAAGACTCACTGTTTTTCAGGGATTTACTGTTCTGATTTCCAGTTTTAAAATTGATTGGTTTCTTGGTGTGGAATATAATGATTATTCTTTTTCTCTGGTCTGTTTTAGGCCTGATTTAAAAAAAAAAAACCCAAACACCAAAAAACTTGTGAAATTCATACAAAAATTATGCTGAGGAATGTTTTTATTCTGGGAGGGGGGGACTGAAGTTTTTATTTTCTTTGAAGTGGTAGCTGTACTGTGTTTGATATTGCTTTGTTTTGCTTGTTTGGGTCCTGTATGTTAATTTGTGTTGTGATACCTTTAAGTATAAGCAAGCTTTTGGAATCTTAAGTTTGGATATTAGTATGTTTTTGGACTTGGGTGATTAGTTTGTAAATCACCTTGCTCTGATGTGTTTTTGAAAATACTCATTTGCGGTTGATCACGGCTTTTAAAAATTGAAATTATTGAATGTGTTTTACGGCACCATCTTCTGGTAGACAGAACACATTGTATTTGAATGGCTACCTCTGCTAGGCACAACTATTTAAAATATTTTTGACTAACACCACTCTGCAGGCTTACAGGTCATTTCTCATTCTAAATCTGCAATAAAACACTGTTTAACATTTTTTACATTCTTGTTATTCATTACAAATGCAGCTATTCACCGTGCTGCACAAATCTAACTTGGGACAGACCCTGTAAAATTCCAGTCACAACAGGCACTTTGTGAACGTGCTAGGTTAGGCAGACAATATATGTCCAAGCGCTTACGATTAATACACCATTTATGTATCTTATTTCTTTTATAGTTTCATCTTGCACTTCTCTGACATATTTCAGATGATGACACTTCTGGCCAAAGCAGTTTATGGGCTCATACTTCAGGGACTGCATATGGCCTTAGTCATACTTCCTTGCAACCACAGGACGTAATCACCGTATATTCAA